CCTTGGGAAGTCTCTGTGCTTCAGTTTCCCCTCTGTAAAACGTTCCTACCTCATCTTGGTGTTGTGAGGGCAAATACATTAAACATTCTCAGGCATTCAAATACTATGGTAATGGCAGCCATGTTAGTACCTCACAAGATCTAGCTCACACCATTACTGCTATGCTCCCTTTTAGAATAACAGAGTAAGAACAGAATGCTTGTCTTACTTTGAATTTCCTGACCTACATTGGTTTGTGACTCATATTTAGGGCCTGGGAGTTTTGTTCACAGAGAATTAAAAAAGATTCCCAATGTAAAAAGTTGTTAAAGAGCATCCCTAATGGTAATTTCTTTTGGGGAAGGAGTGGTTTAAATTTAGCAGTCATATAAAAACTGGGCATTTAATTTCCTGACATTTCAATTTCTTCTTGCAAATCAAATACATAAAACTTCTGGCAGTAACTGTAACTTCTGAGATCACTCTTCCATTACAGAACTTTCTTCTTAATATCACATCTATTTATGAGCTGCTGTGTTTTTAAATCAGAAACTAAAAAAGCAAAATATTGAAGAACTGAAATGTCTGAACAATAAAAGTTAAACTTTGGTGACTGAAAATGATAAGTACCATATGAAAAACTTCTTCAAACCGTTTGTGTGATCTATAATTACTAGCGCTCTCCCTATATTTAAAAAATAAGTAGATCGATCCTATAGCACAGGGGTTCTCAAAGATCAATGCACTGTGACCCCCTTCTGACGGTGAAAATTACTACACGACCCCAGGAGGGGGGACTGAAGCCTGAGCCTGCCTGACCCCCCCCTGCCCTGGGCTGGGGGGGGCAAAGCCTGAGCCCCACCACCATGGACGGGGGGTGGGGAGGGGCCAAAGCCCAAGAGCTCAGCCCCAGGCAAGGGGCCTATAACCTGAGCCCCTCCACCCAGGGGTGAAGCCATCGGGCTTTGTCTTTGGCCCTGGGGGGGTGAGGCTCAGGTTTCAGCTTCAGCCCTGGGGCCCAGCAAATGTAATGTCAGCCCTGGGGGGTCATGACCCACTTTGGGGTCCCGACCCCCAGTTTGAGAACCGCTGCTAAAACATATGCTAAAGATTTGAGTGAATGATGATGTAATAACAAATGTTGTCTATAGGAAGCATTATTCAATGCCAACAGGATACCTATAGAATTAAGAGTGGTTATAACTCATGTATTTTTAAAAAGCTGCAACTTCATATATTTTTGTATATAATAATTATGCCCTTTACCAGCTGCGAATTAGTAATATTGGATGAAATGGGTACCGAATGAAAAGGGCATCACGCAAAATAGCCATAGATTTTGCCTTTTTGACATTTGAATGATACCAAAGCATTGCAATTAGTATATTGAGCCAGTTGTCTACCCCACCACACATGCACACCCAACTCTGAGAAACACTGAGGTACTGGAGCTTGGAATGGTTCTATGCCATACAGTACGTCTTCCAATCAGTCAGGAACCTGCCAATTTTCTAATAAATGTTCTTCCAACACTTATTAATAGTTTTCACACAGTGTTGAGGTGCACTGTCAGAGCTGAGGAGTGCAAGGAGTTGGGGTGCACTGGCAGAGCTGGAGGTGGAAGAGGGTTGGTGCAGGGAGTTGGGGTACACTAAGCTGTGGAGTGCAGGAGGTTGGGTGCAGGGAGTTGGGGTACACTGGCAGAGCTGTGGAGTGCAGGAGGTTGGGGTGCAGGGAGTTGGGGTACACTGGCAGAGCTGTGGAGTGCAGGAGGTTGGGGTGCAGTTGGGTGCACTGGCAGTGCTGGGGGCCTTCCACACCTGAACCCCCAACCTCTTTCTTCTCCCCTACCATCCATCTGCATCTACCCCTCTCCTGATAACCCTCCTCCCCTGGCTGAAGCCCCAAACCTCTCTCATCTTATTTCCTCACTCTTCTACCCCACTATACCTCTCTTCCCCTCCCAGGAGGTGTTCACATGTCTATTTCCCACCCACCCCTCAAAACTTTGATTACATTCCCCTCCCTCACCCCCCAAACTGCCACCCATGACTCACAAATCACAGCAACCTCCAACCATTCAGTCCAAAGCTCCTTTTGTTTTAGGAGGGGGCTTGTGATTAACTTCTCCTGAGTTCTGTTCATTGAAGGATGAGCTCACAGCCATCAATCTCTGCCAGGTGTGTGATTACTATCTCTCAGTTTAACAATACAAGGCAGCAGAAGGAAACCAGTTTCCTTGCGGTGGCTGTAACTCAGGAATCCCTCAGCAATATAACCCCAAACTTTGGGTCACTAATGCTACCCTACACCCCCATGAAGTGCACCAAATTTCAAAGTGATCTGATTATCCATTTGGATTGTAGAGAACTTACAAATGTCAAATTTAAAGTATATTGTATTGGTGCATGGGCAGTGTAAAAATGTACATTTTATGATATTCTGTTCTCATTTTGGGTCCCCAAAAAATTTAGTGGGAAACTCACACTACCTGGGGTAAAATTAGACAGATTGAGATCATTTTGACTTGCACCACATCAATAGTTTGATTTCTAGCTCTGCCCCAAAAAAACTTGCCTTAGAAGCTTTTTTAAAAATGGCTATTTTTTCGGGTTTTTATCTTTGCAACCCTGAGCTCAAATGACTCCAAATTTGGGTCACTAGCTTTACCCAGTACCCTCCAGAGGCTAACCAAATTTCAAAGACATCTAACTAAAGCATGTCAATTTTAGAGGACTTTGAAAGGTCAGTCTTTGAACAGATATTATGGGGCAAGCTTAACTACAGTGGTACTAACACGCCACAGTAATATTAAACTTTAAGCTATGATCTGTTAGGGCTACATTTGTTCACACAAGTTCATGTGGACTTTCCATAGACTACAGTGGCCTGATTCATATGCAAAAGCTTTTCAGAATTGGTTTCCTTGTTTTTAAGCTTCCTTGGACAGCCACTGTGTCTCTTCTATGTTTTGCAAAGTGCCAAGCATGTGGGCAGCACTTAAAACTAATAAGTAATATTATAATAATACTGAACATGTAACTATATATTATGTTACAGCCTGGTTGAAAGCCCATTGAAATCAATGGGAATTTTACCTGTGGCTTCAGTAGGCTTTGGATCAAACCCTTAATTATGTATGTTGATTTTTCTTACTATCACTGCAATCATTTATCAATCCTGTGGTTCCAAACTGAGACAGACTGTAGGCAACTATCCTGGTTTGACATTAATACTCTGCGTTTACTGATGAAAAACAGACATGGGGCAGTTCAGGCCCTTGTCCTGCAAGATGCCAAGTGCCTCCTGGGTGTCACTGAGCCACCTCAAATCTACTGAAGCAAATAGGAGTTAAGGAGGCTTAGTCCCTCATTGGATCAAATCCTAGAGGACTTGCCCAAGGTCAACCAAGAGAATAGAAACCAGGGGTGAAATCCTGTACCTACTGCAGTCAGTGGAAAACTTCCAAGTTTTGCCATCAACTTCAATAGAGCCTGTATGTCACTCCAGGTCTTTGACTCCCAGTCCTCCTGACCATAAAGACCATCCTACTTCTTCAGGGGTTTGGAAGAGTCAGGATTTTGCTGTTTCTTTGAATGCTTAATGTGTTTAACAATCAAAAGGGAGGCAAGGGGAGCTGTGCCTTAGTCAGGACTTCAGGCTTTCTCCTAAGGGCACCTGCACAACTCCTATTGCCAGGATCAGGATCTCAATCAGTAGTTACAAACATGGAACAAATTGACAAACTATTCTACTTGCAGTTAACATTTGTAAACCTCATGAAAGCTACACAGCAATATATAAACACTAAGTATTGCACACTCAGCACTCGGGCTGAACGTTGTCATTTAGATGGTATTAGCTACCTTCACTTTGTTAACAAGAAATTATACTTCCATTTCTGTTAACTGTGACCTTTGACTCTTTATATATTGAATGTTGTTTCCATCTGAAACATTTGCGCCACAGATGTTATTCATCAGAAGGGTCTAATGTATTTTATATTGTTCTTCATTTAGCTATATGCAGCATTCAAAGCATCCTGGGCTCTAGGACCCTGAGAGGGGGCAGATCTCAGGCTGCAGCTAAGCTAGAATGTCTACGTAGCAATTAAACAGCCCTTAGCCCGAGCCCCGCAAGCCTGAGTCAGCTGGTGCAGGCCAACCGCGTAGACATACCCTATGTTTCTGTTAGTAGTATATACAGTAGTATGATTTTATTTTCCATTTGTCTAATAAAGGAAGATATAGAAATAAGTATGGTCTTATCCTGCAAAGACTTCAGCATGTGCCTAATTTTATGCAAATGAATATTCACATTTGTAAAAATATACAAGCTTAAATTTTTGTGGGATTGGGGCCAATATATTTTCACATTCAAAACTGCATTCCTTCTATTAACTGAAGAGAGAGCTTGTTCATATTGACCTGCAGCATATATCTTAATAATTATAAAAAAGACATTTAAACCATGCTATTTGGCTTGTCCATTGTGATGTTTAAATCTCTGTGCACTAGTTTATATAAAAGGGAGATATTTTGGTTAGGTAGTTTATTTAAAAATTTGGTTACTATTTTTGTGTATTCAAAACATGGAATTGGAAACATAAGACTATAGCTGGTAAAAATGCCAATAGGTTTTTTTATTTGCAAAAAACCCCCAAAACTAACTGTTCTAGGTTTTTCTTCAAAAACTTGAAAAATTAAAAAAAAAAATTCCATTTAAAAATGTATGGTTTTGATGGAAAATTGTCAATGACCTCTGCAAATAATAATTATACAGGCAAACTATCTTCTCTGAGGAAACTGTTCCACTCAGAAAAAAATGTCTCAAACCTAAACTGCCTGTGTGACTCATATAAGTAAATATATATAAATAAAACAGTCTGTATAGCAACAAAATCATAGTTTCGCTTGTGTGTTTTGTGTACATAGAGAAAGGACAAGGAGATTTTGTGTGTTTTACTTTAGCGGGATGCAGGTATTTGTTTTTAAAAGCGAAAGAATATGTTAAGAACCAACCTTTTGTGTCCCCAGCTTCACAAGTCTTAAACTGTGTCTGTGAAACTGCTGAAAGGTACTCAGGAGACAGAGGCTGTAATCCACAGGATTCCTCCGGCTGAATTAGCGAACCACAGTCCTGAATTACAATGAAATTAATTAAAATCACAGTACCATATCCAAAGCATTTAACAATATGCATGGTGTAAAAAACTTTTGTCAAGGACAGCTAATGAGAGGGAAAAAATATTTGATTGATTCTGAAATCCATTTGTCCTCCATTCAACACACTTTCAAATGTGCTATGTACCAGTGATTTGTAACAAACTTTGCCAACCTACAATCAATGTGTAAAAAAGGCTGCATTGAGCAGTTCCCTGTGCACCATTTTTGTATAAAAATAAATATACTTTAAATTGTAATCTCCATTTAATTCTTACTTGCTGCCCACATTAATTTTATATGGAAAACCTGCACTCAAACAGAACATGTTTACTTGATTATATGTGCCAATTTAGCTTTAAGAAATACATGTATCCCCACAATCTCATGTGCAAAGGAAAGACAAACAGAGAAAGAGAAAAGAGGAATCTCAAGAGGAAGAAATGATTGAGCTGCCAGAGGGGCTAGCTTGGAAAGCTTATTACCTGGGGTGGGATATGAACATAATGAAATAATTTACCTCAAGAGTTTGGGTCACGCATACTATAGACAAAAGGAAGACCCAATAACGGTCCATATACCATATTAACATGTATAATACTCTATGCCAAAGAATGCTTAGAATTAAAAAATATTCTTATAAATAGTATTGATTTTTTCTTTTTCATATTTATAGTAAATATGTGTGTGCACTGAGATCTACAATTAATACACATATTATATCTTTGTATCTAGAAATAAAGATAAATTATTCAATCCACAGAGAATACTGAAGCACTAAATTACACTGATGGAAGGGTAAACACTGTAAACACATTTTGTTGAACGGCCTGGTTTCCTGCAATTTGATCATTTCTACTAAATGTTATGGACTTTAGAAACCTGTATAGTGGAATTTAATTAATGTTTGGCACTTTAGAGATCTGGCAGTAACAATCTGGCATAGCAATCATTTTAAAATTAAAAGCCTTAAAGTTTGTGGGTGAATGAGTTTCATTGGCTTCAAGGAAATGAGTCTGTCTGAAAATTGCTTTAGGGGTCTGATCCTGTGAGGCACCACCAACTTCCAATGGGACTATTCGGGTGCACAACGATTACTGGCATTATTAAGACTTAGCAGGCTTGAGCCCTTATATTTTAAATAATGTATTGTACTGACATTGTTCTTGCATATATAATATACAACTATCTGTGCTATGGTATAACTGGTATAATTTGTATTGTGCTATTTCTGATATTAGATTACTATATTGTAATTTCCTTCATGTTTAAAAAGGTGGTTGAATCCCTGCTTTAAATGCTTAGCTCAACTGTAACTATGATACTGCAGCAAGTATCCATAATACATTCACATTTTTTGTATTATAACTGTGAAAAAGAAAAATATGACATGCTATAGAGATCAAAATAATGTTGTTTTTGTGACATGAAAAAATATGAAAATCTGACTGCAACATACATTAAGCCATTTATTTAAATACACTGGTTAAATTAAACATTATTCTATCGCAATTTCAGTACTCTGTAGGTTGATTTTTAATTTTTCATAGGATTATTACTTTTAACCAATTATAAACATACTATACAGTGGCAAACAGTTTAAATAGACAGAATAAACCATATAAAGAATGGACATTTTATAAAAAGATTTTTCACATTGAAAAGAGAATAAAATGAAATGTTTAGAAGAAGATAGTGAATTTATAGTTCCCCTATTCATTGAACTATACTGATTTTTGTTTAATTCTTTTTTATTTTTCTTAAATGATACTAAAATAAATACATCTACTGACATGTATTTACTATTGCTTCTAAAATGCACAGCAATCAAACTATTTAGAACAATGTTTTTAATATAATATACTTTGCTTCCACCTTCAAATTAGAACCATGAATGAATGACAATCAATTAGGTTTTTAGACCCGTTGGGGTGAAATCCTAGCTCCACTTAAGTCAATAGGATTTTTGCCACTGACTTGAATGGAGCCATGAAGTCACCCTTGAAATCATTAAATACTAGTGTACCTTAATTTTTGCTAAGATGACTCTAGGGATACACCCAAAACACAAAAGCAAAGTGCTCTCTCATGTAAGGCCTGATTCAATGCCCCTTCAAGTAAGTGGAAAGACTGTCATTGACTTCAAAGTGTTTTGGACCATTTTAATGCACAGGGAGACTCAGTATCTCTGTGGTTTTTTGCACTACCACCGTATTCCCTGTTTAGGGTTTCACAGTTAAAGAAGGCTGATATAAGCAAATGAATGACACTGAGTTCTTCTAGTGTCAAACCGTGATGTCCTCTTGGAGTCTCAGGGTCTGGACACACTGTACAGATATTTGACAGAATTACTTAAGCTAACAGTAACATCAGAAAGCTTCGACCTTGCAGCACAACAATTTGCACAAGGCTTCACAAGGAAGGCCTAAATTCCTGACTAGCCTGCTCTTTGCTCTCAACACAGTGCCATAAGATAACTTAACAAGGATTTTCTTGTTCAGACTTGTGCAGTGTAGGCGTTTAAACAAAAAAAATATTCTTTGATTTTAATTGAATTCACTGGGTGATACCATAAAGAGCAAATTTTGTCTGGCAGGCTTATATTCACGGGGTCCGTTTCATTTGTTAAAAAGCACGTGGTCTGAAATACAACATAGATTGTTTAATAGCAGAATTCTCAACTCAGAGCATCTGAGAGGTCGCAGTACCTGCAGTACTTGAGGGAGGCTTATTTTTGCTTTTACAGAGGTCAAATCTTTTATGATCAAAGACATGTTTAATATTGCTATATAAAAATGGAGCTGAGGCAGCCAGAGGTCAGGAACTAACATTTACTCTAGCTCCATGTATGGTACATTAAGGGCTTTATTAACAGTTTGTGGATTTGTCAAGTTCCCCACAGGTACTACAGTGCTATGACACCCCTCTTGCCGTGCCCGAAGATGAAACGTCTTGTGATCTTAAGTATGTTTACAAGCTATCACTCATTGCAAAGATGAGAGGCAGCCAAGCAAACTTAAATGATACTTTCCCCTTGGTGTCTGCTCCTGTGCATACTCATTTTTAAAGGGCAGACAAAAAAAGAGCCTTGAATGCCTGGACTGAAATCAAAAGAAAGCTCCACTGAAATACGTATTTCAATACATAGCTAGAATTGATTCTTCATACGACTGGTTTGGCATTTTATTAGTAAACTTCACTTTTATCTTTACAGAAAATTTCTGAGGCAATAGCAAACAAAAAGATTGCAAAGCTTTCTCATGTATATCTAGGTAGTTTTCTGTTAACCCCAACCACGGAAAAGGTCTGTTGGGTGAAGAGGAAATCATCTCTCTCTAAAACAGTCTATAGTGAGATTGCTGCTTCATAAGAAGCATCAATTACACCCTTTAAACAATCGCCCTAGATTTTCAGCATGTTACCATACAACTACATCAAGTTATTAATTTAGCGCTAATAACTCTGGATGTTTTGTTTCACCTAGAGCATGAAATAATAACAGGATACTATGTATCAGAGTGGTAGCCGTGTTAGTCTGTATCACCAAAAACAATGAGGAGTACTTGTGGCACCTTAGAGACTAACAAATGTATTTGGGCATAAGCTTTCGTGGGCTAAAACCCACTTCATGAGATGCAACCTGATCTGATGAAGTGGGTTTTAGCCCACGAAAGCTTATGCCCAAATAAATTTGTTAGTCTCTAAGGTGCCACAGGTTACTATGTAGTTACCAGTGCCTACATTATAACTTTTAGCCCAGAGTAGTTAAAGCACTCTCCCTTTCTCCCACCCTGGCAGAGATGGGTGAATTGAAGCTGGGTCTTCTACTTCCCAGGTGAGAGTGCTAACCACTGGACTAAACCCAATAAAGTAGGCACTTTCTCCTCTTGGATTTTGAATGGGGCCTAATCTGGTAGGTGCACTCTCAGCACACCTACTGGATCAGGACCCACACGCAAGTTAGGTGGACAAACCCCTATCTTTCTGTGGTGTGTGAATTGCTTTGAGGCTGAAGCAGGGAGGTAGGTGTTGGGACACTTAGAGGGAAGCAGCAGTACACATGCTCAGAGGCAGAAATGTAGGCACAACTTTTACTCTGAAAAACTTAGGTTCTCAGCGAGTTTAGGTGTTTACAGGGTTTGGTGGGAGTTTTGTGGACCGCAATGAAGTCAAAACTGGGATTTACACCTCAAACAAGAACTTATGCACCTACGTCTGGGGTTTAAGCACCAAAGTACTTTCTTGGCTCTCACTGTAAGTGCTCAGAACACTGAGAAGTATTCCCTGCCAGTCCTACTGAACAAATAAAGGAGCAGGATATCAGAGCTTATCATGAAATAATAAGAAATATATAACTAAGCTCATGGGCAACTGATTTTTAGCATTAAATACCATGGATAAGTACTCAGAAATGTAATCTCACCTCCTTCTACTATCACAAACCCAAGCTTGTCCAGAACAGTGGAAGAGATCAACCTTCTTTGTTCATCAAAATGGAGCAGAAGAGGCCTTGCACAACTCCCACTCGTTTCCTGAACTCCCAGATACACTATCTTGACCCTGGCTCATGTTTACTTAGAGTGTGCCAGGTTGCAGCTCCTACACCGTCTCCTCACTGACATTATGTTGCGTTTTTGGTTGCACTTTTCCCCTCACCTTCTCATTTATGCACTCCCTATCCGTGGCCCCACAAAGTCACGGGACCTCCTGGTCAACTTCCTCTTGGCCCTGGCTAAACAGGACATCTATAAAACCAGGGAGAGGAGGTTGGCCGATGGACGTTCCTGTGACTGTGGGGCCTGTTTCCGATCCTCTGTCCGTTCACGTATCCGGGCAGAGTTCCTCTGGGCGGCGTCCACTGGCTCCCTTGACACCTTTGAAGAGCAGTGGGCGCTGTCCGGGGTTCTCTGCTCGGTGTCCCTGTCAGGTTCCCTTCTTTTGACCCTTTGACCGCATTCCTGTCCCTGTTTTTACATTAGTTGTCCCCCGTAATCATTTGGGTTTTAGGCACTGTGGGTCCTCCCCTTAGGCTGGGGGGCGAACCTTTAGCAGCTTCGCCCGCCCTCTTCCCGGAACCCAATATGTACAGTAACTCTGA